AAGGGGCAGCAGTTGTAGCATGATAATGAAGAATTCATGTTATGTAGATGTATCTGCACTACAAACAAGGCTGAGCCAAGTGTCTAGCTGACAGTCTTAAGCTGACAGTCTTAATGTGTCTTAACATTCCGGGAAAAACAAATCTGACTGCCATCATTAACATAAGGCTCCTTTCTTCTGGGGCTTGTCAGTAGCTCAAACCCAGTATCAGGATGCCTATGTACCCTTTCTATGTGGGGAAGCTTTTAAAAAAAAAAAAAGCTTATTACCTAATTCAAGGAAGAAATACTAACACTTCAAAATAGTGGGTTTTTTCTGAAACCGTGTAGGTACCAAATTCATAGTTCTACTCAATTAAGCTCCCTGCAGCTGCCTGAAGATTCTTTACATAAATGATTCCTGAGACAAATCCTACTCCATTGCTTCTGCTATTGGACAGCCAACAGAAGGGCTGCTGGCAGAATCTGAGGGGGCTTCTGTGGAGATTCTTCCCTCTACCACCTGCTTATCTGTGTTGGGGGGGGGGAGGAGAACCACTTTCCTTGCTCTAAGGACTGCAGCAGGAGGCCTGATGATGCTGTTGGCAGTTAGTCTGTGTCAAGTGACAGCAGGCCACCCCCACCCTCCCAAGTGCCACTATCTCAGTCAGTATCAGTTTGAATGGCGTGGGGGGGAGGGAGGAGTAATGCTAGTCTCAGGCAAATGTCATTTTGCTAGAGGTAATGCATACGCTTCAAGCATTCATGGATAGATTGCAGTACAACTATTATTGAACAGATAGGTTGTATCAACAGGTGTGTTGTAAGCAAAACTCGTGAAGTCATTCTGCCGCTCTACTCTGCACTAGTTAGGCCTCAGCTGGAGTACTGTGTCCAGTTCTGGGCGCCACATTTCAAGAAAGATGTGGAGAAATTGGAAAGGGTACAGAGAAGAGCGACAAGAATGATTAAAGGTTTAGAGAACATGACCTATGAAGCCAGGCTTCATGAACTGGGCTTGTTTAGTTTGGAAAAAAGAAGATTAAGGGGGGACATGATAGCGGTTTTCAAATATCTAAAAGGGTGTCACAAGGAGGAAGGAGAAAATTTGTTCCTCTTGGTTTCTGAGGACAGGACAAGGAGTAATGGGCTTAAAGTGCAGCAGGGGAGGTTTAGATTGGACATTAGGAAAAAATTCCTAACTGTCAGGGTGGTCAAACATTGGAATAAATTGCCAAGGGAGGTGGTGGAATCTCCCTCTCTGGAGATATTTAAGAACAGGTTAGATAGACATCTGTCAGGGATGGTGTAGGTGGAGCTTGGTCCTGCCTTGAGGGCAGGGGGCTGGACTCGATGACCTCTCGAGGTCCCTTCCAGTCCTATGATTCTATGAGCCGCAGTAGCCCTGTTATCTTGGCAGATGAAAGCAGCATACCCTCTGATAGTCTAATGGGGTCATGTGAAACATAATACCATCTGAGGACTCCTCACCGCTATTTTTGATCTAGGTAGCTTGTCCATGTAAACAGCTCTGCCTATAGTCATGGACAGCCTATAACCAAGGTCGGGCAGCTGTGCGCCAAAACACTGGATGCTAGTCCTTCCTACTGTTTTTCTATCGAGGTGAGGCAGCTTCTTTCCCCAGCTCAAGAGTCTGGCAGCACTAACTGATTCTCACAGTACCAGGTCAAAACTAATCCACATCCACTTTCAGCCAGACTTACTATGTGAATAGCAGAATGCATTGTTTAGGTTTGACATCACAGGTACTGTACCAAAAAACCTAGCAACCTGCATGTGATACTGCCCTAAGGGCTTGCTGTGGATGGGAAAGCAGTGATGGAGTGGAGCGGTGCATGGTCTGGTGCAAATGACAGGTTTATCCAATTGCTGCATGTGATTTGTTCAGGTGAGTGTATGAACATAGCTGCAGCTGCTCTGGCTGTTATATGAAGGGACCAGAGTAAATATCTCCCATTTTGTGAATGGAGGGGATGGTCCTCCCACCTGCTTTGTGACTCATACCTCTACTACAAAAACAACTCCTTCATCACAGGCCTTTCTTCTAACAGGAAATAAAGTAAGTTGGTGTGAGGTGCAGTCTCCTACTCATTTAGTCAAAAGAAAATGCATGGGGAGCAATAAAAACTAGCATTGACTTGGTTTCCCCTCTACCTTTTTTTTGGGGGAGGGGGTCCTCTGGCTTTGCAGGATTAATGCTCTGTCTATCTCTCAAACTTATATTTTTGTAACTAGCTACACAAGGGGGGGGACAGGAATTCTCTCATCTCCTTTTCCTCCCCCCACACCACTACTGCCCTTACAGGCTATCGTGAGAGATGGCCAGCAGCCTGAGGACTAAGGGGTTAACTATACCTAAGCCAGGTAGAGTTGGCCAATAGGAATGTAGGTAGGAATTTCAAACTGGGACAAAGGAATCTTTGGTTTTCCCCTCCTTTGTCCTGGGACAGGCATCATGTCTGTTTCCCAGAAAAAACTCTTAATTATCTGTAAGTAGGGTAAAGTTTGGGAGTGGGAATCTGATGTCTGTGGATTTAAAAATGGGGGTGGTGTTTTTATTATTATTATTATTAAAGTAACTAAGCTCTTGGCCCAGGCAGATCACACACTGAGTATATTAATAGTCATTATGCTTATAACAGGAATATTGTGGTGATGAGGAAAGTTATTTCTCTCTTCTTTTTACTAACCAGGTTTTACTTTTGGGGCTGAGATTTCCCAGTAGTCTCTCACTAGTTTCCTTATCATTACTTGGGGAGTGGCAGTAGATTTATTTTTTTTGGGGGGGGGGGGGGTTGGGGGGGCCAAAGCCTGGAAAGATAAGGTTTTGGGGTACTTTGGCAGGCCCCCACTTCTGTATTTATCATGCCAGAGTGGGGAAGAAGCCTTGACACAGGCAAAGCTACATTTTCTCTAGCTCAGTGGTTTTCCACTGAGGGTAAGTCTAGACTGTGGGGTTTTTTTTTGTTTTTTAAAGGAGATATGCAAACTAGCATGACACTAGCATATCTTCCAATCGCTTTTTCAAAAGTCGTCGATGTGGTTTTTTGGAAAAAACCATTTCAAAATGCTCTTTTTATATATATATATATATAGCTTTTTCCCCAAAAAAGACTCTCTATAAAAACCTGCTTTTGAAAAAGTGCTAAGATATGCACATTCAGTACTATTTTTTTTTTAAAAAAACCCCATAGTCTAGATGTATACTTCCCCACCCCTAAAAAAATTTCAAATGGAAAGCTGGGTCCCTACAGAAATTCAACCTGTAATCTACGGTCTCCTGTCACAGTTTTAGGCTGAAAACTGACACAACAGAAATTATCTATAAATGTAGCACACGCCTCAGATGTTTAGGGAACAAGTAGTAAAGTGTGTGCTCTGCTGTGGCCTTTTGGGGGTAATGACAACACTTCCAGGTTTTGACCTGTAGGTGATGGTATTCAGATACGTTAAACTGTGCATAGGCACCTTTTCCCGGACCCTTAGCCTACATCTACACAGCAGTGTTATTTCAGAATAACATAGTCCACATCTACTGTATTTTAGAAAAA